ATTATTTCGAAATTAATGTGTTTTTGTTGGAATAAAAATCATTGATCTTTTGGTATTTTTGTGAATGATGGAAACGATTTGGAGCTCTAGTATTTTGATGCTCTCTCTTTGTAAATCCAGGGCGAGCTCACTCCTCCCTGTTTCCGCCGCTTCTGCTTTCATATTCGGTTCTTGCAAAGAAGGCTGGTACAATCGTTGTCTGACCCATAAACAAACAACAAATCCCTTCGAAAAAATCATAATACTTTTCCCCCATCGATAACCCAGATTTTTGTTTTTGTTGGACCGATCCGTTTTGTGATTAACGAGGAAGAGCTTGTTGCTGCTGTCATTGATACTTAAAATTTTCCTGTTGGATGAAACAATGAAACTTAAAAACATCTAGAAAAAGCACAAAGGAGGAATAGACATGACTAGCTAATGCTAAACTTGGAACCTAGATTTTCAAATGTAAATCAAAACCCTAAAATTATTTGTTGCTGTAAAACAAACAAAAAGATAAAATCCAAAAGTTTGAATCACGCATAGCCATGGACTTTGAGCGAAGAAGAAGACCAAAAGTTTGAATCATGCATACTATAGCTCCAAATCGTTTCCATCATTCAGTTTCCATCATTCACAAAAACACATTATTTTCGAAATAATTTCAAAACTTTGAAAACCTTCATTTTAATCCTTAAACCCACGCCGACCGTCGACGCCTCTCGTCCGTTCGAAGCGCCTCACTGCCATCATCAAAATCCCCAAAACAATTCGTGGATAGTCGTCGTCGTTCACCGGAATCGAACCCTTGAAGTTTCGACGAAAACACTCCCCGACACCTCGGATTTTGGACGATTCCGGTCGCCTCGGACCTCCATTCGCCTCACCGCCACTATATTTAACTTCCTCGTCACCGTCCTCTCAAAACCCAACAGGTGGGTCATGTCGTAGTCGCCATCCGCCTCCGTGGGTAAGCTTCGGTTTTAAGATTTGTATTTTTTTATAATTTAAAAGAAATAAGGGTTTTTTTAATAAATATAATAATATTTTTAATATTTATTTTTAAAAATAAATTTTTAAAATTATCATATTGTGACGTGATTTATTTTAAGTTACAGAATAAAACGTTATACATTAAACTAAAACAAAAAAAATATTAAACATTAAACTAAAAAAACAGATGTAACTCACGTATGTGAGAGGCGAATGATTACATCGCGTTTTGATATGTGTCGAAGTTTGAGAGGTATCTATCTAAATAATCTTGGGAGGAGTTATTGATTTAATAATGCCAGCTAGTTCTGCCTACTAGGCGAAAGGTCGGGGATATCTATTATCTATATATGAATCTTTATATTCGAGTAATTTACATAATTTTAAATATAAATAATTTGAGCACTATATATATCGGATCTTTATATGAACCGATTAGAAAGTTATTTTATGTTTCTTTTTACGATAAAGTATAGTAATGGTTATTGAATTTTTTTAAAATTTTTATTTAGGTCTTTCAACTTTTAAAATTTGTAATACAGTTCTTCAATATTTAGTCCGTTTGTAATATGGTCCCCGACGTAATCAGTCGTTAGACGCCGTTACACTGTCGTTAGTATATTTGCAATATGGTCACTGAACTTTTCTGGTGCTTGTATTTAGGTCCCACAACTTTTAAAACTTGCAACACATTCCTCAATTTAATTTTAAACCCCAAATTCCTTTTCGATCTCGAATTTTCTTTTTTGCGTCTATCTTCTCATTTCTAGAGTAACTTTTCAGTCGGGATGCATGGGAAATTCTAATCTAACTTTGAATTATGTGGAGGTGTTGCTTGAATAAGGGTCCATTGAGAGAAGACCGACCGAGGGGCTATCGGGACCATCAACTATTCAAGGTGTAATGTTAGATACATGTCATCTCATGTGAATCATAGATGTTCGATGAAATGTTTGTGAGAAAAAAGTGGGGTTAGAAATTCAGAGTTGACAAATACTACTAAGATGAACTAAGTATCATTGTTGAAAGTCACTAACAAAACTGGAATTATTTTGTATAAATGATATATAATAATTTCTTCGTTTAATCCTTGTAGTTAAAGATTTTCCAACATATGATCAAATATAATGAAATCTCAAACAATGCATTCACCTCACAGTCTCTTTCACTCACATGCACTCTCGTTTGGTTTTTGTTCTTCAATTTTCCGCCATGAAAATTGTAAACCCAAGCAGTGCTCTCTGTCTTTCAGTTTTTTATTTACAAAGAAAAAATGGAGGAAAAATTATTGGAATGCAACACCGGTTGCGTTTATTTCTTAGCATCTCCACTCACTTGCAAAAAGGTATTTATTTTCTCTTTTGGGCTACCCGGAAGTAAGCTTTTCCTCTTTCGCACTTTCCCATTTTCAGCTCTCATTGTGTGTTTTTTATTGTGTTTTTTGTTGAAATTTTTATGTTTATGGAACTGCATGTCAATAATCTGGATATTCAGTGTTAGTTTTGAACTAAAACCATCTAATTTTCTTTCTTTCTTCTTTATCAAAACTTTTAGTACTTCCTATGAAAGATATTCAGTCCATCAGAATAGAAGTGAAAGATGGTCCTAGGCTAAATTATTTTGATATTATTGTTTGGTTTTTCTTTAAATCAGGGAATTGGTTGTGAGTATCGACATAGTGAAATCGCCAGGCTCAATCCGAGAGACTGTTGGTACTAGTTTACTGAGAATTGTATTGATCCGACCTGTGATTTTCGGCGTCCTGTGAGTTCGTATTCTTTTTAATAAACTCATGTTGATTATGGGACAGATATGTCGTGAACGAATTAGATTTTTTTTACATGTTTTGGAAATTGAGGATTGTGTTGCAAGTTTTAGAAGGTGGGGACCTAAATGTAAACGCCTGAAAAGTTCAGTGACCATATTGCAAACATACTAACGGCAGTGTAACGACGTCAAATGGTGGGTTACGTCGAGGACCATATTGTAAACGGACTAATTGTTGGAGGATTGTATTACAAGTTTTAAAAGTTGGAGGACCTAAATGAAATCTTTAGAAAAGTTCAGTGACCATTACTATATTTTACCCTTCTTTTTATTTCTTGTGAATTAATTATTTTGATAATAAAGCTGATTTGATGTCAAGTTCCTTTCTTGACCGTATAATCATGTTGATACAAGGTGGGCCTCTGAAACCACTCGTGGTTGATAACTTTTTTTAACTTAGAATTTTTATTTTATCATTAATTTTTTAACTATTGAATTAATATAATAAGGGCGTTAAATTTATAAAAATTTTACATTTAAAATAAACTTACAGTGATTGTTTTATAACAATTAGTGAAGTTGATAGTTATTTTAGTAATTTATTAAAATTGTTTGTTCCTTGTACCCATTATATCAACTTGTTATCATGCAGCTGTTGATGGAAATGACGTAAAGTGAATAATAATAATAATAGTAAAGCTTTCGTCCCCGCCAGTTGAGCAGCATCAAACATCCAGTGACGTCTGTCTTTATTCTTTATTGATTCTTACGCTGTCTGTTTGTAGACGGATTCTCCTTCTCCTTTCATCCATCTCTCTGCGACTCGTCGGGTTTTAAGTCCCTAACCTCTAACCGGGACTCTCCAATGATTGCTGCATGAACCCTAACCCTAACCCTACCCTTAACCGCTACACATTCTAGTCTTTGATGTCGAGAGTTTCACCAGTTTGCATCTGTATATGAGCTAATTAAAAAATTACTTTTGAATCCATGTTATCAATTTTTCTAGAATTATCGAACACGTCTTCTGAAAAACACGTATTGCATTTTTTACTACACGAAAGACAAAAAAAATATGTTAATCTGGAAATTATTTTGAAAAAGGTATTGATTTTTAAAAGATAGATTTTAATTAAAAATAAGAAAATTAGGTTAGGTATAGGGAGACAAGTTGATTGAAGCCGTATCCTATGGTGCCCATTTGTTCATCCGTAGACTATTCTCCCTCACTCATGTCTTCATTCTCCTGGAAACTGGTTTCAAAGTAATGGCTAATCTTATTAAGGATTATATCAAACAAAAAATGGTGAATAATTTTGAAAGAGAAAAAGTATAGAAAAAGACTATTATGTTCATAATAAATATAAGAAGATTCTGTAAATTATATTAAACTTTAGAATCTTAGTTACATATTGTATAAACTATTCTCCATCATGTATCATATTTTTTTCGTTTTATTTATCTATTCATAAATCGTTGTATTCATTCTAATAAATTTGTATTTTAATATGTTATTAACATATTATTAGTAAAGTACAAGATGCTACTTGTTAATAATCATATTTATTTTTAATAATTTTGAAAATTATTCTTAAACTTATTAATAATACATCATAATATAATAATAAATTAAATTTTCTTGTTAAAAAATACTTATTGTTTTAAAGAAATCGTGTAAATAATTTTATTTGTTTAACATTCAAAAGAAATATTAATTCTAATAAAGAAAAGAAATGTTAATTGCATCGAAATGTGTGGAATTGAACCCAACCATATATATATTGTTAAGGAGCATCATATGTTATCTCAGGGTTAGTAGTTATATAAATTTTAGATGCAGTAATATAATAAAAAATTAAAATATTAATTTAACTCTTAAATTTTAAATAAATTTTATTTTTTTGAATTAATTATTGGTATCCGGTATATTAACCGATCAAATCGAATCATGTATCAAATAGGCGAGGGCAACCCTCCCAACCCAACTTGCTCCATTCGAAAACGTTAAGATTCGAACTCCTAATATTTTTTAAATAACCTAATACTTTATCTCACTAAATCAACTGTTATTTATTAAATAAATTTTATTAATTAAAAATATAAATGAGTATATCCCAAACCCCTAAACCAGTAGTGTATGAATGAAACTGCAGCACTTTATATTTGTTTCCCCCTGATTTGATCGTTTTTCACTTTCTATCTTTCTCATATATATATATTCCCTTTTATTTTTCTGGCCAGTAATGGCAGAAACTGCAGCTAGCAAAAGAGGGAGAAAGATTTATTCATCGGGAAGGTAAAAGCTCATAGCATTTCTGCCACTGCCTTCTTCTCTCTGTGTTATCTTCCTTTTTCCATCTGCAAATTCTACTGTTTCACAGCAAACTCTTTTGTTTAAACTCTTTTGTTTCTTTCTTAGAAAGAAGAGCAAAAAGCAAAGCTCGAGTGTGTAAAAGATTCATGCATGATGCTAATGAAGAACTAGGAAAAGCCACAAGTTTATAATTGGCTGCCCGCCTTAGGATTTCCACTAAAATGTCTGGTTTATTTGTAGCATTAATCTCGGGAGAGTTTTAGGGCAAAAATAGATTGTGTTGGGGGTGGAGAACAACTAGGAAAAAGAAGAGAGAAGAAATGATAAGACAGTGAGAGAGAGAATTAATGGAAGGTGGTTCTAATAGCACTTCTTGCATGATGGATTTTGGACACAACAATACAAGTAATGGACTATGTCCAACGTCGATGATGAATCCTCCCATGACTTCTTATCATCGTCATCATCATCATTCTAATTTGGACTCAAACCCCTTATTTCTTACTACCAGTGGCTCCTCTATGATTCTCGACCATCACAGCAACAACACAGCGTGTTGTTTCATGGAGTCGAGCAACGATGGCGGATCTATCAAGGCCAAGATCATGGCTCACCCACACTATCAACGTCTCCTGGCCGCCTATGTCAATTGTTACAAGGTAAAAAACAAACAAAACCATGCTGGTTTTACTCATAAATGCCTAGTTTATCATGTTGTTGTGGTGGTGGTGTTTAAAACTTGAGCAGGTAGGAGCGCCGCCTGAAGTGGTGGAGAGATTGGAAGAAGCATCCGCGGCGGCCACCGTCGGTGCTACCAGCAGCGGCAACATAGGTGAAGATCCAGCTCTTGACCAGTTCATGGAAGCTTATTGTGAGATGTTGACTAAATACGAGCAAGAGCTCACGAAACCTTTCAAAGAAACCATGCTTTTTCTACAAAGGGTTGAGTGTCAATTCAAAGCCCTCAAGGTTTCCTCTTCCAGTTCTGGTAAATGTTATTCTCCTGTTTAGGGTTTGATCAAGCTAGGATTTATAGAGTGAAAAGTTAGCCTTCGTAAGGGTTTGATCACCTTTTTGTGATGTATTTGGAAGTTATATTCCTATGTTTATGTACCAAATACAAGTGTCGAACACGATTGCTCTAAAAAAACTCAAGAAACCTAGGTTATAGATGCTTGTCTTGATTAATTAACATGTCACTGTAATCTGGTTTGAGTTGATTCGGAGACATTCATTTGAGTTGCTTACTAATACATCATGTATTCAGCTTGTGGTGAAGCTTTTGACAACAACGGATTATTGGAGGAAGATGTCGATGTCCATGCAAACAATCCCCTAGCGGAAGACGGAGAACTTAAAGGCCAGCTTTTGCGGAAGTACAGTGGATATTTAGGCAGCCTGAAGCAGGAATTTATGAAGAAGAAGAAGAAAGGGAAGCTACCTAAGGAAGCCAAGCAACAGCTACTGGACTGGTGGAGTAGACATTACAAATGGCCTTACCCTTCGGTACGTACACATTGCACAACATATATCTGTGTAGTAAATCTTTAAAGAATCTGTTTCGTCATTTCCGTTGGAAACAGGAGTCGCAAAAGCTTGCCCTCGCGGAGTCGACCGGTCTGGATCAGAAGCAAATCAACAACTGGTTCATTAATCAAAGGAAACGGCACTGGAAACCGTCCGAAGATATGCGGTTTGTGGTGATGGACGGTACCCATCCGCACTATTTCATGGACAATGTTATGGGAAATCCTTTCCCCATGGATCTTTCATCTGCATTTCTCTGAAGAATTGATGAAAATGGGATATCATTTCTGCTAAGCTGCAATGAAATTTTAAGGCAAGACTGCATATTATATATGCAAACTATCATAACTAATATGATTGGAGAAATCTATTTGTATCATGTTATTATATTCTGCAAGTCTGCAGTTTTATATGTATATCAGTTTTTGTATTTTATTCCGAGAACGGACATCAGTTTAGGTATCTGGCACTACTCAATGTCTGTCGGTATGTAAGACGCATGTACTTTACAAGCTCTTGTATTGTTCTTCAAGAAGATGATTGGTGTCGTATGTGTCCTATCTCCACTAGTATGTCTGATTACCGGATGCCAAAGACGGTAACTGTACGCTTCTTGAATTGGAGAATATTATTTTTATTAAAATGCAAAACGGTACATTGTCCAACAAACCTATATATTTGCACTGTAAATTATAAATTCGAGGGAAAATGTGAGATATACATGATTGCAAGGCATCAATTTCTAGCTCGGAGTCCCAATTAGATCTTAAAATGACAGGCCCGCACTGTTTCATGATCGGGTGTCTTGTACACAAATCCCTGTTCCTCGCTAGGTCGCCTCTTGACAATTGTCGCCCTTTGCACTAGCCTCACTAATGCTTGCACGACCTCAGACATGGGAGGCCGAAACTCGGGTTCCGGCTGCATATAAACAACCAAAATAAGTTGATATGTCATATAATTGTTTTATTTTTTGTCTCAAAGCATTAGTAAGCTACTATTACCTGAACACACAGATCAATGATGTCGGCAAAAAGTGACAGTGATTTCGCAGGATACATGCCATTGAGGGTAGGATCAACCATTTTCGCAAGGGCATCGATGTCATGCAGTTGCGGAGTAGCCCATCTTACAAGTGATTGCTCCGATCTCACCCTTGAACTAAACATTAAGCAATGCTGATTATACCGAAACAAATTTTTACTATGACAAATACCGATATATAAAAGATCACTAGCTAAGGCAATATGTTTTACCTGTCAAGTGGTTTCCGACCAGTCAGTAGCTCCAACATCACCACTCCAAAACTGTACACATCACTCTTTACGGTATATATCCCGGACAACGCAAACTCGGGAGCACTATAGCCAAATGAACCAACCACTTGTGTTGAAACCTGCCGCATACGGAACCAAACAAAAAAAAGCTTGCATAAAACTTTCAATCGCGGACAGAAGGAAACCTTGTTCATCAATGACTCACTCGCCTAAGAACATTTTACCTGTCGCTCGGTATTCGGTGTAAGAGCAGCTAGCCCACAGTCGGACAAGTGAGGATTGAGTTCTTCATCAAGTAAGATGTTTGCTGACTTGAAATTTCTATGTACAACTGATGGCAAGCACACTTCGTGCAAGTACCTGAAACAATAGCTTCATAAAAAACGAACATACACAGATGAAGGGAGAGAGACGAAAAATTATTGTACACATAAACATACTCTAAAGCACCGGCAGTGCCGAGTGCCACTCTGACACGGGCATTCCAGCTTAACGTCTTGCTTCCATCATCAGAAAAGTGTAGCGTATCGTGAAGACTACCGTTCCCAACATATTCATATACCAGAAGACGCTGTCCATGTTCGGTACAGTATCCAGCCAATGTAACAATATTGGGATGTCTCAAGCGTGACATATTGGAGACGGCTTCCAGAAAATTATCTTCCTCTTGTAATGATAATGCAGCATTGTCTACATCAAACAACATAAAAGGAATTTAGTTATCATGGTGAAAAATGATGCATTACCCGGAAAATTTTGATATTGTATACTTATTACGGTGCAGCTACCTTTCCGTTTGGAAACTCTGCCTTGTAAACACGACCTAGGGAACCTTCACCGATAAGGTATTCTTGATTAAAACTATTTGTTGCTGTTTGCAAAGCCACGACGGTATATGATGTGGCAGTTATGGGGGACTTCATTCTGTTTATTGATCCGTTTTTGGAAATCCTATCGACTGTCACTTTTTCGGCTGTTGGTGGTTTCAAATCTATAACAGCAGCAACACTTTTAACCCTTTGCTCTTGCATCTTGGCATGTCCTGCAAAAAATGAAGCAGAATATAGGTCCGGCATTGTTAGGATGCTAAAAAGTTTTTCAATGAAGCTTTATGCAATCCAAAAGTGTGACCAAAATGTTCAAGGCGATTTACTGCTTGGATAATGTAAATATGAAGAATAAAACCTACCGTCATTTTGGCTAACTGAAAGACTTCCCCTTGAAGGTCTTGCACCATTTGCCTTTCTTTTACTTCTACGAATGCAGAAAACAACAGCAAGTAGTGCCAGGACAACTACCAACAAAGAACCAATAGCCATGCCTACTATTTGTCCAGCTGATGGTCCATTATCCGACTCCGATGATTGAGCATCAGATATAAGGGACGTACGATTTCCGGATTCAGTTTTATGCCTATTATGAGATCTACCGGGTGGAGGTGGACTAAATGACAGTGCTGGAGGAGCAGGTCCATTGTCAAAGGAGTTGCCATCATATCTGTTTCATATTTTTATAGAAAAAGTCAAAACATTTTGCATACACTGAATATTGAAAAGTTAACAATGCATCGAGCCTTACATAAAAGTTGGGAGTGAAAGAAGTTCTTGAGGAATCCATCCAGTGAAATGGTTCTTCGCAACATTTCTGTTTCAGAATCTAGGGTGCATAAGAACATACAACAGAAAGTGTAGGCCCAACAGCGGTTCGAGAAGAGTAACTTACAGAGTTTTAAACAGTAAACCCGGGAGGACATCAAGAGAGCCGGTAAATTGATTGTTCTGCACATACCTGCCACAAATTCAGATATTAACAGCACTCGGCCATGCTACATAAATCTCTTAATGAGGCAACACTTACAGAGAAGAAAGATTTGTCAATGAGCTAAACGAAACCGGCAGATCCCCAATAAAATTGTTGAAAGAAATATCCCTGCATGAACAAGGTAACCAAATCATAGCGTTGTTAGAAAAATATTCAGTACCGAAAACAGACGACAGGGTCTGGCTCTCTTACAATGTATCAAGGTCAGTAAGATTCGCAAAAATGTCTCCAACGGACGGGGACAATGAATTATGACTTACATTCCTATAACACAAAAGATTTACGAATAGGAAATGAGAGGAAGTTCGATTTGCTGCTCAACTTTGCGTCGATTAACTAAAGACACATACTATCCGGGTGTGTTACTTACAGGTAAGTAAGAGTAACCATATTGGCAATGGAATAAGGAAGACTCCCACTTAAGTTGTTACCTGCAACATTCCTGCATCAAAAATAAACAACAATTTTAACATTTAGCAGTAAAAACTAACACATTATAGCAACAGAAACATAATGAATCGGAAACGTTACAGGCTCGTAAGATTTGGAGGCAACTGGTACGGAATTGTATCATGAATGAAGTTGTTACTCAAATCACTAACATAAAGCAAAGAAGAAAACCTATTAGCTAGTTAGATGATTAATAAAAGAGATACGGTCTCGATATTTCGAGCAGACACTAGAGCAATGGAATCATCTTACAGCATTCTCAAGGAAATAAGATCATTGAGTAAGTATCCCATAGTTCCAAATAGTCCTAATCCAGAAATATCACTGTAATACAAAGAACAGCAAACGAATTAACCAAAATATAAACTCATCATCAACAAAAGAAATTCCGAAAACGAATAGCTTCTATCGACATATTTACTGTCTTACACGGAAACGACGGCCGAGCCTTCACAGGTAACCCCTTTCCATGACTCTCCACATGGATCACCACCATCACTTTTCCAATTTGTTAACGCTGCAGGACTGTTCAATGAAGTGTACAGAACCTGAAGAGCTTGAACTGCCCAAAAATAAATCCAATACAGATTAGATTGAATAAACCTTCCATTCATATAACTAAAACCAGAAATTCTAGATTTTTGCTACTGCGTACACAGAGTATCATCATTTTCCCCAGAAAACGACAATATCGGAAATCAAACCAAACATATGTTTTCTCTCATTTTCTTCTCATGTTTTCTGGAGAAACAAACACTTTACACAGCAGAAAAGATCAAGCCTTCCAACCAAAAAGACCATTTCTTGACTAAAGCACCAAAAAAAAAACAGACTTGCCAACGCCAACACAATTTAAAGAGAGAGAGAGAGAGAGAGAAATACCATCGGTAGAATCAGTGTTGCATTGAGCAGGAGTGAAAACAAAGATTAACCCAAGTACAACCAACTCAGCAAGTAGCAAACGAGCCATAGAAAGATATACACCATTGTTAATGCAACCCATTTTCCCTTTTCGGAGTAGTAGTAGAAAGTATTGTAAGTAAGTTTACAGGTGATTTTTGGCAAAGTTTAGGGGTGGAGAGCCATGGAGGCCGAAGCACAGGTGAAGGAGGAGGAGGAGGAAAATGTGAAGTAGCAGGAGTTGTTGGGAGGCATCGCCATTAAAGAAAAAGAGAAAAAAAAGAATAGATTCCTATTCGAAGCTTGAGAGTAGTAATGAAGAGAGTGTGTGTTGAATTATGTACGAGATTGATTGAAGAGTGTTGTCTTCTACCAGTGTCGGCGAAAATTGAAGAAAAACAGAGTTGGCAGTAAAATCTGGGAAGAAAATTCAATACGATATACAATTACGTACGCACTATTAATAAAATATATAGAAAAAATTGGTATTGATCAGGCAATGCAAGGTACGACACTTTCTCAATCTCACTCACTGTTCCTTTCAAGATTTGATCCTCTGCGTTTCCTTTTGTTAAGTCTTCCATTAAAAGAATTACAACCAAATTGCACATTTTTAGTGGTCAAAGTGTAATGTTACCATTAGACTAATCTATATTTTCAAAAATTCTTTGGGGATTAAATTATAATTTCACAACTTGAAATGTAATTTTAGTATTATTTTAACTTTTTTTTAAAAAATTAACAGTAACATTTAATTTTATTGAATAAAGAAAAAAATATCATTACCTTATATAAAAATCTACAAGTACAATAGTAAATTAATTAAACTAGTCAAATATTTCTCTTAAAGAATGTAACAACAACAAAACCATATTCCCATATGCAAAGGGGTAAGGGGGAGGTGGGGATAGTAGGCTGCCCCCAACGCCAGGTTGAGAGCAGCTTCCGTGGAAGACCTCCGGCAGTGAGAAAATAAAAATAAAGATAAAATACAATGCATGTATAAATAAATCAA